GTATCCACCATCGGTAGAAAAGGGTCATACTTTTTAGATGAACCCTTTCACAATAGACTAGTGGATCCACTTAGTAGTTCAAGTCTTATACCTCTGGCCGGGTATAGGATGCGCTGGCATCGTGAGGTAGATCGTTGTATCATCACTATAGCTGTTATGTGATGGTTGTCGGTTAGAGAAACTCCCACAGAAGTTATTGTATTTTTATATACATCAGTTTATTATATTTTTACATATATTTCAAAAAGTTGTTGTATCCTTGTATATACACAGAGTTGACATCATATTTTTAAAAAGATTTTCTTTATATTGCACTTGTTTTAAACTGCTTTATATTGAAATGAGTTCAATAAGTATTCATGAGTTGAGAAGAGCCAAGGTAAGTGTTTCTTTCAGATTCCCTTTCAAGCCTTTGTTTGTTAGCATTCCAACTCGCATACTCGTACATTCAATGTATTGATGCCAGTTGGCCTGCATCTTATTATGATGCAGACACAGGTAACTAGGATCGGCATCCGGCGCATCATTGATCCAGTAAGAAGTTCAGAGTTTGTTGGTGAGCCTCTTTGCATTCCAGAGGACTCTTTTTCATTGCTTTCAGTTTTAGTATTAGTTCATTAGGATGTCGTGGGCCTGTCTCGACATCCATCTCAGTTGTTTAGAGGCTTCATAGACAGACAGACAGTCAGTTAGTTATTTCAGTTGTCTTTACTTTTCATTTCATATGTTAAAGACTTGAGTTTGCCTTAAAGGCCAGTTGAATGTTCCTTTATAACATTCTAGTTACTTCATAAATGTGTATGTGATAAGTTAAGTCTTCCGTTGAGTTAGTAAGTCAGGCCAAGGGTTCACTTGAGGTCAGCAATAGTCTTCGAGTGCCAGTCACGCCCGGGGTGTAGGCTCGGGGCGTGACAGGGATAGAAGCTAGAACTGATTTGATTAGTGTGGTTCCTCCTGCCAATGATAAGAGTCTAGCCTTCCATCCTTTAAGTTTGTTATTCATGTGGTTTATGATGTATTGATAATCCGCACTTTTGGGGTAATGATTAGTAATAGGTAGTCCTACATATTTACCATCTTATCTGATTGGCAGATGTTTAAAATAGTTGATAGGTTATCCATTTTAACATTTGTCGAAAAAATTATTAAGGATTTATTGAAATTTATTTTTTTCACCCCGATTGTTGTGCAAGGGTATTGAAGATATAATTAATAGTAGCAGCATTTACAGAATCTTCTTTTGCTAGGAGGATTATATCGTCAGCAAAGAGGAGGTGTGAAATGGGGATTCCTATTCTTCCAACCCTTATTGGTTGCCATAGATTCTCCTGAAAGTGAAATGGGGATTCCTATTAGTCTCAAAAGTGACTCCATGCATATTTTATAAATATATATGGGGATAATGGATTTCCCTGCCGAATACCTCTTCTAGAGAGGAAGTAGTTTGTAGGTTTCCCATTCACAAGTATAGAGATGGATGAGGTGGATACACATGACATAATGAGGGATATGCTATTCTCAGGAAAGTTAAGGATGGTCGGGAATTGTCTAATGAACAACCATTCTAGTCTATCAAAAGGTTTTCCAAATAGTTGTTAGAAAGTATTCTTTAAGTGTTAAAAAAAGAGTATCTTTTTTGAGTATTTGAATTTGACTAAGATGCAAGACTGATAGAGATTTTTAATATAATTGTTTTTGGGATAAGGTCTGAAAAATACCTCAACTTTGGCTGAAATTGTTATTACGATACCAAACTTTAATGAGGACCTAATACCCCCCAGACTATTTAATACCATATTTTAAACATATATATTTGCCCACGTGGACATAAAAAATAATGCAAAATTATAAATAGTAATGTGTCCACGTGGGCACATATATACCTTTAAAATACACTACTAAATAGTTCAAGGGGTAAAAATACACTATAAAATAGTTCAGAGAGGTAATAGGTCCTCCATAAAGTTTGGTATCGTAACAGCAATTCCGGCCAAAGTTGGAGTATTTTTCAGACCCTTATCCCTTCTTTTTTTTAAAAAAAAAGGCAATGTGTCTATTAATTTCAAGAGCAATAAATTGCATTCTTCAGATTTCATTTTGATGATGTGGCACAATTCAAAATTCATGTTGATTGGAGATAAATTTAAATAGAGAAATATGATCACTGATAATTCATTAGGGAGACTACACATTACGCGAGTTCAATGACTATCTTAAAGAATTTCAGAAACGTGAGTGTAACGATCCAAATTCCCGTTTTGAGATGTTCATGAGAGTCCTTGATTAGATATTTCTATAGATTTTGTGTTGGGACTACTTAGGTCTAGAAAGGTACATTATAGAACTTTTCTAAGATGACTCATTAATTTCTTGTCATAAAAAAGAAGAAACCACATATAGATCCTTTATTTGAGAGTGAAGTTATGAGATTACATGGTATAAAAAGTTCATTTTTAGTTATAGAGATGTCAAATTTCTTTAGCTAATTTTGGAAGACTTTGTAGGGAAATATGTGTACTAAATTGTTGTACCATATGAATTGTCACCCCACATTTGATGGTTAGACTAAGATAGTTATTAATAGTGAAGTACGAGAGGGGGAGTGAATTGTTTTTATTACTAAAAAGCAAAAATTAACGACGAATAAATTTTAGAGCTAAACAATAAAATATGTGATTAATTTTATCTAGCAATGAATTATCAATAAATTTTATTAGTTGCAACAAATTTCGCGGTATATCAATAGCAATTTTAATTTTTATTGTTGTGATTGCCTTAAATATATAGCTTCTGAATTTGATTGGATAGAGATGACAACTCAAGGGTGTTGATCCTAGAAAAGAAATTGTTTGAGATCTTTTCAAGGTTAAGGTTAGAGCTTTGATTTTGTATGAAGGAATATGTTTTTCATGAAAAATAAGTGATTTTTTTACCATTTTTTTAGAATTCAGCTAATAAAGAGAAATATTATCCAAAGAGCATTTAAATGTAATCTAAGCAAAGTACAAAATCCCCAGACCTACCAATGTCCTGACCCAACCCAAGACCGAACCCCAATATCAAATTGGTATACGACCCTGACCTTGACCCCTACCTAATACCCAACCCCAACTCTGACTTGAGACCTAACACCAGAATCTCGACCCTAAGACCCGAGATTCAACCCCAAACCTGAGATTGAGGTTGAGATTTCTACCCTCAGACTCAAGACATGACCCTAACTAACCTAACCCTAATTCCTAACTCGATATCTGACTCCAAGCCTAAGACTCGAGTTCCAACCCCGACCTTGAGACTAAACCTTGACTTAAGACTTGACCTCCAGAGCTAGCCCTAAGATACCAACCACAAGACTAGAGACCCAACCCTAACACCATGACCTTTGACTCTAAACCTTGAGACTCGACCCCGACAACCTTGAGACCCAACCCTAAAATTGTGCCCGAGATCCTAACCCTAAAACTCAAGATCTAACCTTGAATCTATCTCAAAAACCCTTCTAGACTCGAGATGTAATCTCAAGATCCAAGACCGTACCCAAAAAAACCAACCCCAACCTTTAACTTTGTCCCCAAGACTCGATAGTTATCCCTGACCTCTGACTCTAAGACCCAACCCTTAGACCTAAGACTTAACCTTAACCCTAAACCTAGACCAAAACCCTGATCATAACACCAAGATTCAACATCAAATCAACCTCGACACCAGCCCATAACTTGGTCAGTCTTAAGGGCTTGGTCCTATGTTGATTTGGGTCAGGTCCCATGTCGGTTCAGGGTCGAGTCTTAAGTTGGGTTTAGAGGTTGGTCACAGTTCAAGATAGAGTATCAACTTCGGGTCGTATCTCAAGTCAGGCATCAGATCCCCAATTAAGGTTGGGCTGGGGTGAAGTCTCAGTTTGGGTCCCCACGCGGGTTGGGTCGTGTTTCAATGTGGTAGGTGAAGGGGCTAGTGTTCTGGACATTTGTATTAATTAGGTGGTGGCAGGGGCAGACCTACAGTGGTTCAAGTGGGCTCATATGAACCCACTTCGTTGAAAACTAACACTGTATATATATGTATATTTCATCAGTTTTTAAAATTTTATATATATTAAGTTTTGAACCCACTAACACAAGTCTGAAGCTTAGCCGAGTGGCTGAGGGGTTTCAATTTTCCCAACCAACTCGAGATCGAATCCCTATAGCCACATTTTAGTTTAAATTCGTTTTTTTGATATATAAAACATTCACACACAGTTTTGTCCTCTATGTAGGTGTAACTTTTGTCCTTTTAGTTACTTAGAAACAACTTTTTACTTTTACAATTAAAAGTCCAATAGTCAACAACTTTTATCCTTTTTGTTTTTAGTTTTTTTTTAAAAAAAAAAACTCC